GGGCCCGGGGAATGGGGAGACGCTCTGGGGCCAGAGGGGAGGACGTGCGTGGGAGGGAGGGGTAGCTGGTGGAGGTCAGGGCCCGCTCCAGGCAGGGCCAGGGGAGAGAGAGACCCAGCTCCAAATATTGGTGGAGCAGGGCCCCCGGCTCTGAATATTGCTGGAGCATGGGCATAACTCGCCGCCTATGCCACTGACAGCTGCATTCCCAAGGACATCATAGATCACAAAGCCTGGGAGGACAAGGCAGTCTCAGTTGGGGGTGGCAGGTGGGGAGAAAATCCAGCTCTCCACGACAGATTAGATGAAGCCAGAGTCCTCTAGGTTTCCCAGCCTTTTGGATACCAGAGTGTGATTTGCTGCCTTCCTAAACTGTCAGGGAATCTCAAGGATCACTGTCCATCCACAGACCAGTCATTGAGAAACAGCTCTAAGAAATGTCCCCAAGCTTCCTATTCAATAAAGTTTCTCCACAGCAACAAGACAGACATTTGCAGCAGCTGCTTCTCTTTACCCTTACTCCATCTAGAAAAGAGAAAAAATCCCCAAGCAGATCTTTCTATAACCGAAGAAGGGGGAATGAGAAAGTCCATGAAGCCTGGACCTTTTCTATATCCAATCTCAATCTATTTTATCTGGAAGCTGCTACGCCTGGCAGCAGCACAGAATGGATAGGTCATTTATGTTTGTACCATGTTCAGAACAATGGGGTCCTGGCCTCTGGGAACTATCATAACAAAATAATAGCAGTCATACAGACAGACAACCTGCTCAACACATCAGCTATGAAAAAGCTTCAGGCCAAAACAGAGCTGGAAAACAAAATGGGGACGGCTGGCTAAAAAAGCCTCTCTCCAAAAGATCTTCAATGTTTGATGGGGTAAAGAAATTGAAGGAAAAAAGAAAGATTGAATCCACAAAGCATACAGCAGAAATGCCATCTGACTTCCAGACACAGAACTCTGGATCACCACCAAACCTGTACATTGGTAAAAAATCACATTGAAAGCTCAGGGTTTAACTTGCCCATGAGAGAGGACCTCAGCAGTGGGTTTGGGCTGGTGAGACCAGACCTGAAAAAAGTCCCTGTTAGATCCCAATAGACAATTTCCAGCTTCCATTCACAAACTTTTGGAAGACCAGTAACATTTATTTGCATATAAACAAATGATGAATATGCAAATAAATTGTTTCTGGTCCTCCCAAAGCCCTCAGTGCCAACTTTAGCAAAGCTTTTGATACGTCCTCGGGGTCATCTCATGGCGCAGCCCCGACAGGACTCCCAATGTCACGGGCTTGAGTGGCAGCTGCTGATGAGACAGGAGCAGGCCCGGTCGACTGCCCTGGGCGGTTTCCCAACCCCAACCCCAAGGTATCTTCTTCACCCATGTTTGGGACAGGTAAGGTTAGAAGGCCTCTCTCAGGCCTACTGAGTGACTCGGCTCGTATGGGCCCTGGAGGTCGGGTGAGTAGCCCCAAGTCCTCTCCCCCAGTTGCGCCTGCATTCGTGGGTGAAACCGCGGGCCACACCCTGCCCCGGGGTGTGTCGCTGGCCCTATCTGTCGGGCAAGTTGTTCTGCCCCCCCCTCCTGGCCCCAGTCCCAGCTGGCGCAGGCTCCCCCAGCTGCATTGATGAGCACAGCGCATGGCCTTCTCCCTGGTCCTAGTGCCTGCCAGATCTAGCGCAGCTGCCCAGGAGCATGCCCAGGAGAGACGCCACTGCAGTGGGCTCTCCCCCAAGAATCATGCGCGAAATTTTTTCTGAGGAGCGGTATTTTTTTTTCTAAGGACCAGTCCTGGGCCACGAACCACACTTTGGGAAACACTGCTCTAGCCCCACAGAGGGTTGCAGGGGCGGGAGGTGGCTGGGGTGCCAATGCAGGCTCTCCAATGCTGAAAGTGGGGAGCCCAGAGCCTTGAGGGCTGGATCCAGGCAAGACAAGGGCCGCATCCAGTCCCAGGGCCTTAGGTTCCCCATTCCTGAGCTAAAGACTTTGAGAACCTGCAGGAATGTATTTAAGATCTGCCATAGTGTTCTGGACCATTGATTCATCTAGTGCAGTATTCTAGCTCCAAAAACAAACAGTACTAGAGATTTCTAAGAAATGTGCAAACCTCCCCTGTTAAGTACAATTATGCAACAACTTTCCTATGGGAGAGGGGTGGAGTTTTTCCCCTAACTCCATGCAACTGTTTGGCATGACTTAGCATGAGGTAGCGTTGCCAGTTTTGGTTGGACATATTCCTGTAGGTTTCATCACATAACACAGTCATTAATTATAGATTAACCTTTAATTCCTGGATACTTTAGAACACTTCTGGAGGTTTAGCAATCCTGGCATGAGGGCTCTTCCATTGGACATTTACCCTGCATAGTGTAACTAGGGATATTCCTGCTATGCATTTGTCTAATCTTTAATTTTATATGCCCTTTTTTTCTACACTACCCAGTGCCAATGAGTTACAAAGTGTATTATTTGACAAATAGGTTTTTAAAATAATTTCTATCACACTACAGCTTGGACCTTCTTGGTCCAGCATCCTTGATAGCTGACTGGTCCTGAACGAGGGGATTTGCAGGACATGAGTAGGTCCCGTCATTGGCCTCCCTGCCTGCCGACCCTCCCTACGTCTGGCTGTGACGCTGCACCTGATCCCCTTGTCCCCATGCTCGGGCTCCAGACCTGGACCTGCTGCTGCTGGGCTCCAGCCTCCCTGCCATCAGCCCTGCCAGGGCTCCCCAGAGCTGGAGCTCTCTGCTGTGCAGCCTGAGCCCCTTGGCGGTCACAGCTCCCCACCGCACTACCAGACCTGCTGCTGCTGGGGCCACAGCTCCCAGCTGCGTGGTTGGACCACAGCACCACTGGACCCCGCTACCACACTCCTGGCCTTGCCACTAGACCTCCCTATCCATGGGCTCTGTGGTCCAGCAACATCCGTGGTCCTGGCGGACCAGGGATGTTGGCGGACCAGAGAGTTCTGGCTTAGGGAGGTACAGCCTGTAGTAGCCAGAAGCCCTGATCTGGGACCCAACTGGCTAAGCACTATCATACAAAGGCCTCCCCTTCTCCAAAGCGTTTATAATCTCTACACCTGTCGAGACAATAGATGGGTCTGGAAAAATACAAGAAAGGCAACGAAACCATTCAGTTTATATTAATAAATAAAAGCATCGATAAGCTAACTGCCTAGTTATCATGTTGTGATTTCTAAGCATCAAAGAAGAGGTGAGTTTTATGGAAGAACCAGAGAGAGGAAGTGTACTGCCTGACAATTTAATTGGTTTCAATTCCTTGCTACCGCTCTGAGAAGAGCTAAAGAAATGCCCAAGTGATATTCTTTACTGAAAATAGCTCCATCATACCACATCCTACCTGTCTACTCTCTAATCTAAATAATAACACCACATTTAGTATCCCCTACTTTAGATGTTTATATGGATATCATCATCCAGAGGAGTGTTCGATCTCGAGATGAACCCTTAATCTTCAGTCCATGAACTGCTAGTGCTCAAGTGTTCAGAAAAAGCTTCATCTAGTAGTTATTCCATAACAGCCTACAGAAACACAGGAACTGTCATTCTGGGTCAGACCCAAGGTCCACCTAGTCCAGTGTATTGTCTCTGACAGTGGCCAGCACCAGGTACTGAACAGGCAGCGATAAGAAAGCTGGAGCAAGCAGATATGGGAAAAATCTGCCCCCACAGCATCTGTCTAATCCCTAACAGTTAAAGATTGATGTGCACCATGCAGCTTCATATCCCTTCTAAAAAATGTTGTTAGCATTGCCTATTATAACAGGGAAATGTGAGGTAATTTCTATGATCAGCTGTGAATTAATTAAATACCACTATTTGTTTTCATTGATTGCAATTCTCTTGACCTCTTCTACTTCTATTCTTTTTGCGATGAAGTACCCAAAACAGAACACAACTATTCAGGGTGAAACATAATAGTGTCTCTCTGCCTTCGTGCATCTAAGACCATTTACTTTTCTTTTTTCCTTCAGAAATTTTTATCTGGACTGTCCATCTCTCTCTCTTTCCATCCATGTGTATATTAATAACTCATACTGAAACTTCCAATGTGCACTAGAGAATTACAGAAATATAGAACTAATAAGGACCTCAAGAAGTCATCAAGTCCAGCCCCTTCCATATCTGTGTACAGCAAAAGTAATATAGGTACTCTAGAATTGCTAAGGGCATAGCTTTGATGCTACTCAACATTTTAGCCTTGATGATCTCATTAACTAACAATGCATTACTTAACTAGCATTGCCACCTCAGTGTTAACCCCACCCAGTTCAGATGACCGGTAAATACATTATACAACACAGGCCCTGTAGGGGATTCCTGGGACACTCCACAAATAACCTCTTTTCTATGTATCAATGATCATTTACTCCTAAATTTCTATTTTCTGTTTTACCCAATTTTATCTTAAACTGCTGATTTTGTAAATCGTGTCCCGTCCAACCCTGGTATTACCCTACCTGCTTTCAAATTAAAAAATATGAGAATTTTAAAGGCTGTCCAATACCCAAGTTTTCTTATAATCACTGTTGATATAAAGTATGCTCCTTATTTAGTAATCCTGATCTTAATCTATTAATTTTAAACAGGGACACTGCAAAGCCATCACGCCAGCTCTCCAGCTAAAATTAGCACATGAAATACCTGTAGAGATGATTCGGTATAATTATGAAAATAAACCTGTCAAACAAGATTGTACCTATATTTAATACATATTTTGCTTTTAACAGCAGAAGTAAACAGCATAGACCTTACAATTCATAGTTAGTGAAGAGTTTATAGTGCTTATAAAGTTGTATCTAAAATATACCTTCTTCATTCTATACTGAACATCTTGAAGACAGTCTAATATTATAATTACACATTATACAATAGCAGCATGTTCACACTACTATAGTTAAGGCTGTGTCAGCATTCTCATTATTAACCTCTTTTTTCAGGTTCTGAGTATTACAGCCATAAAATTATAATGCAGTTTGAAAATTTGGCATATAAGGTTTTCACCTGGCAGCAATTTATTTTAGTCAAATAAGAATTAAGAAAAACAACATCTATAAAATAAAGGAGACCACCCAAGTGCATTTTGCACAATCAGCTGAAAGTTTCAAAAACGCAATTTGGAAAGAAGCTAGCTGACAGTATATTCCAATCATTTTTAAATGAATGATTTTAAAATGTGCAAAGTGGGTGCTATCAACGAACAATTACCACACTTCCCAAGGATTTTTACTATACATTTGTATATGCATGTTCTGTTCTCTAAAGGTATGTAAACCAATATATAAAAGAACTTATTACCAAGCAAATAACAAGAAATTACTTATCTTCAGTTTTATACACACAGTGGTCACCATTAAAGCCCTGGAATCTGAGGTACCACATTATTTCTCTATAGCTACTGTAAAAATTATGATCAGTATCTCAGCTTTTATGCCAATCATTTACTTTTTATGAAGACAACCATGTTGAAGATCTGATTGGGCAGTCCTTGCTTATATCATCATCCAACTAAAGCCACTTGCATGAGTAAGGAATGCAGATCAGGCCAAATGAAACATACTTTTAAAAAAATATATCAACAAGTCCCTTGTGAAATTGAAGATGGAATTACAACTTCATTTATCTAGCATTAGTTATTATGACCCTGTGCAGAAGAAATATCCCTGAACAGGAATACACTTAATCATGTGCTTATCATTAGCTTAATGGAAAGGACGTTCTTAACTGTTTTCCTGAATTGTGGCCAAATCGTGAAAATGTGCATGGGGCACTAAAATGTCATGGTGCTATAGACCACTGAAACTGTGGAGTTGCTGAACTGACATCTCCAAATATCAGTTTTTTATTTAAAAATGTTAAAAGCTTTGTTCATGCAAAAGTTTTTCCTTCTGGTAACCCTTCGTTTTGTTACATAGAGGCATTTAACTGCACATGTTATAGACTTCAGACATAAAAACACAAGACTCAAAAAAACCCCTGCCTATATCAGGTTTCATGTACTATACATACATAGACATTATTATTTATTAAAACAAGTATTTGTTCTTTGGACCAACTTCAACCTCTTTATGGGACTGTAACGTGTTTTAAAAAACTTTCAAGGAAGATTAAAATATTAATCATTCAAATTAAACAAAAGAGCTTGTTTAAACAACATCAAGAAAGTGATGGAAGTGAAAAAGAGGAAGTTTCAGGGCAAATTCACTGATGGTATGGTCAGGCAAAACTCAACTTAAATCAATCAGGGGAGAAAGAGGGAGATGCCTATTTGCAGCAAAGGTGTCTTTACCCTATAATCTCAAGGGAGAAATGCAAAGCCGAGTAAAAAGGGGGGTGGGGAGGATTGGGTGTTAGCCCCAAACTATGGGCCAGATTCCAACACACATACTGACAGGAGAAGTGGTTAGTGCAATAAAGTAGGTCTTGGAAGATCTGGGATCAAGTCCCTGCTTTGCCACAGATTTCCCGTGTGACCTTGGGCAAGACATTTAGCCTCTGTGCCTAAGTTCCGCAACTATAAAATGCGACTTATGGTGCTTTCCTATCTCCCAGAGGGGGGAGTAGGAATGAACACCTTAAAGAGTTTGAGGCACTCAGATATCATACGAATGGGGCCATACGGGTACCTAAAACAGTACAACCCTACACCCCCACTAGTCCCACGGACTTCAACCAGACTAATGCAGAGAAAGGTTTTACTCAACATGACTAGTAGTGTCAGAATGTAGGCCTAGGAGATAGCTGTCTTCAGGAATCAGTAGCAAGGTGAGAAGACACATTCTGAAATTAGTCTTCAATTTCCTTTTTCATTTTTCTGAAGATTTTTCAGCATCAGGAAAGTTTCCATTTCCAAGCTCACTAGAGATTTCCTAATAATGTATCATTTTGAGACAGATACAAGGGGAAAGAAAGATGGTGTGGGGGGGGGGGGCAGTCCAGATAGTCCTATATAAGTTTTTCCCACATTTGACAATTGTTTTTTAAAAAGCGATTTAGCACATTTTGGGGCTTAACTTGGTTTCCTTATTGATATCACAGGTCACCTGTAACTCATGTTGGTACGTAAGACAATAAATATAACTAGCTACTAGCATGGGTTACAATATCTTCAGTCTTAATTCTGAATGCTCTGGCTTTTCCTAAAATATCAAAAACTTCAATTCCTCAAATTGCCAGAGAAACTGAAGCAGAATTTTCAGCTACACTACAGTAACTCCAAGGTCAGTTTGGCACTGTAATATTGTGGAAAAAGATGGTAAACCTATTTTAGATTGGCAAAAAAACTGAATCTTGTCTATGAACGAATATTGTCAAATCTATTGCATACAAATGTTACTTCACAGTAATAGGACACCAAGGTTTCTAACTAACTTACAGAAGCAGCAATCACAGATTGCAGTAAAGTGTACCATTCAAAGGGGGAAAAACTGCATTTTGGCAATTTTACAGTCAAAATGTTCCTTATAGCACGTTCTTCCAACAGTTGTCTGTCATATTTTCCTGTATAAAAGATGCATTTTGCTTTTCCTTAGTCCTGGTGAGATTTTTCTGCAATGACTTTGCATTCATACTGCAAAACAACCAAAGAAAGCGAAAATTATTTGAGAACAAGGATTTATAGACTTAAGTTCTGACTGAGTTAGGTAGCCGTGAAAAAGAGGGATTTACATCGTTACTGACACAATAGCTCTGTCCGCATTTTCTCCCCAATCAATGAAGGCCCCAACACTCTGATGCTTTTTAAGGTATCCTAACCAACTAGAGTTCTGTAGTAAGCATTTTGTGCACAATTGACGCACAAAATGGTAGCATTCTGGGCCTCCTGGCAGAGCAAGAAAGAACCTAACTATATTAGCTATTGACTCAGAGCTTGTCCTGCTTTTTTCCCCTCAAACATGGTTTCTTATATAGGCCTTGACCTGCAGGGGCTTGGGTTTGTGCATATACAGAATGAAGTGAAAGCAATGAAATGGGAAACTCTTTAGGATATGTAGGGCACTCAGCAGCACACAGAACTGCTGGGGGCAGGAACATGCTGACCAGATTGAAAAGCATTGCTTCTGGACTCCCAGCTTAGTCCACATTTGCAATTTGAAAACCTGGTTGGTGTTAGGAAAAAGTGGCTTGCACAACAACATTTAAAATGCCAAATAATTTCTTAAACCAGACAATACAAGCTCAGTACAAAAAAAAAAAAAAATCTCACACACCACACACACACCAAAACCACTAACTTACCATTGCCAGCTGCCTACCAATGTTCCCCACAGTAATGCCACCAGCAAAAAATATACATGGTAACCAGGAACGAACATAAAGGAAATCTGGAGACGTATATCTAGAAAAGAATACAGGTTTGGGTATTGTCCGTTTACTGCCATCACCAAATTATCCCAGCACAGTCTTATCTTCAAAAAAACCTTACACTTTTAAAATTAAACACACAGAGAAAGACACTGAGAAATCTGGATATGGAACTAGATTAACCTACTGATACACAAACTTAAAGAAAGTTTGATTTGTTACTGCTAATATCAAATTTACTACCCATCCATTCATTTATTCTAATATCCTTTCTCCGTTTGATCCAGTCTGTTTTGCTGTAGGTTTTGTATCAGTTTTACAACACCAAACCAAAATCTCAGTCTTAAACACATATAATACTCACAAGAATAGTCCAATTAAAGTAAAGTTATACATATATTTAAGTGTTAGCAAGTTCAGGGTTCAAATGAATTCAGATCTTTCTTTAATATTTTTGTTCAACATTAGCACCACTTAACTATAAGAAAAATGCTTTAAAAAGACTTACTGGTAAACCCCATTGTAGACCAGAAACTGTGATACCAAGGTGGCCAGAAAAGCAATTCCTATTCCAAGCCCAAAGCCACTTCGTGATCTATCAAAGGTCCACCATAGTCCAATTGAAAGTGCAGCTAGTGTAAGAGATAGCTGTATGTTGTTGGCAAAATCCACCTTCTAAAGTCATTTGTTAAGGATTAGTTTTAAAGTGCCAACTTCGAGAAGATCAGTTCTCTTTACGTTGTTAACTAAAATTTGACCTGAGAAATAACATACTCCAACATAACAAACAAACATCATCTTCTAGCTCTTGCATAAACACAGCTCTCGCCATTTAATACAACTAAATGATAGAGGGATACTACAATAATAATTTAAAAGGATTATTTTCCCTCTGTCAAGAAGAGTATTGACTTAAAATATTATTTTGTTTAGGCTATTTGTAAACACACAATGTTGTCTCAGTACAAAGTGAGACAGCTATTAAGAATACCAGTCTGTCAGATTTAGTGTAAAAATATTAGATGAAGTAGTATCAAAAGAACATTCCAGCCTCGTCAATTACTCTTTTAATAATCTGTGGTTTAAGCCTTAAATCCAGTATTCAATTGCCAATGTGCCCTACATATTATGCTGAAGTCTACTGAAATAAGGTCATCTGGAAAAAACAAAAGCTATTTAATATCAATCACTCATACATGCTTTTAATTAGCATAGTATTTTGATCCAATTAAACATTTATTCAGAAACTTGTTTGCTTTTCAAAAAACAACTATAGCAATGCAAAATGTGAATACACAGCATCAACAAAATACTCATGTGAGTCAAAGTGGAAGATCAGTTACATCAACTTTAAATACAATAAATTAATAATGTGCACTTTTGCAGCACTTTATCCTCTTCAAAGTGTTTCAAAAATATTAACTAATTCATCTTCACAATAAGAAAGTACCATTAAAGAGATAATGTTAACATTCATAAGGATAACTTCAATTTAGGGGATGACAAATTTATAGATAAAACCACAGAAATCCACTGGCCTGGGGGAAGATCTAGTGGAATAGTCTAACAGGAAACAGGGTAAACTGGATGGTAGCAGAGAGAGAATGGCAAACACAAGAACACCATGACCAAAGTCAGCTCAAATCTGGGAAAGTCTAAGGGCTTGTCTTCACTACATGGAAGATTGCCACTGCTGAGATCGATCTTCTGGCGTTCAATTTAGTGAGTCTACTTAAGACTTGCTAAATCAAACTCAGAGGGTGACCCAACTGGCATCCAGTAGTCCTCCTTTTGTGAGGAGAAAGGGAAGCTGCTAAGCTTGGCTTAAGGTAAGCCAACTCCAGCTCATGTAGCTGGAGTTGAGTACCTTAAGTCGAGCTGCCGTGTCTAGTGTAGATCTAGTCTAAGACCCTAATTCTGCTATTAGAATATGATATGAACTGAAGCTCCTGCTTTTCAGGAAGCCACCTAGAACAAAATAGTGTTCTATTTATATCATCTATAGACGATACTGACCATGCTGAATGGCTGATTGTGAACTGCAGAGGTGTTTGCTGAGAGTAATCAGACTGGTGGGAAGTTTGCCACTCACATTTCCAAGAAACTTGTTTGAATTTCTGCCCTTTATCTAAATGTGCCCACTGTCAGGGGATGCTCAGGAGTTGAAGGCAAATATATATGGAGAGATACCATCTCATAGAACTGGAAGGGACCTTGAGAGCTCATCCAATCCAGTCCTCTGCCCTCACCACAGGACCAAGTACCATCCCTGACGGATTTGCCCCAGATCCCTAAATGGCCCCCTCAAGGATTGAACTCAAAACCCTGGGTGTAGCAGGCCAATGCTCAAACCACTGAGCTCTCCCTCCCAATATGAGACCATACTGATTCTTCTTTGACTATAGGAATACCAAATCCTGCAAGGGGGAGATTAACCAGACCCTAGATTTGATGTCTCCAACATTAATGGGCACACAGGTAAGACTGCAGGAAAGACCAACATGCATCCAAAGTTCAGGCCACTGGAATGGGAATACAGCCCATTTTCCATGGCTTTCTTTGTATCTCATTTCATCCATTGTCCCTCTTCTGGTTCTCCTTCAGCTGGAAAGGAGACACCCTACACCACATGGCCAGAGAGTTTGCATCACACCACCAGCAATTCTCTGCAGGTAACAGTCTGGTACCTGTTGCTACAGATGAAAGAATGAGCCTTCTATGATGTTGAATTCTCCTTTTCAATACCCATATTTGAGTCTGGGTTTGGTAGACAATTGTTTTAACTTAGAGGGAGACTGTGACACAAAACACAACTGCTCACACGGTTGCCAGTGAAACATCACAGCCCATTTTAAAGCTATGTTTTTGTCTAATGTCACAGCTCCTTCCTCTAGGGCTGGTGCTAGTCTAGTGTAAAGGTGTACATGAATTTTTGAGAATTTAGCAGGAAAACGATGTACTGCCCATCATACCACATTGACTCACTCACTTCTCTCCTTTCTTTATATTCTAAGGCAAGTCACTTAGCTTATTTGTATTTCAGTCCCGTCTGTAAAATACGGATAACAACACTTATTCACTTTCATACGCTTTGAGATCCAGATAACAAATGCCAAGTATTTTTTCCTACCAATTTTTCCCATGCTTAGCAAAGTGCACACTCTTCATTGATGATGATGCACACGTGACATTTGCTCTCCTAATTTGTTCCTGCAAACTTCATTACCACACAGAAGGATACAGCGCTAGCATGATTTATACCCACAAAGACTGCTACACAACGCATTACACTGGACCATTCTCTCTTAAATTTATGTGGCTCTCCCAGATGTCTGTCCATGCAGGGATACAATAACCCAATCACAGCTGTGGAAACATGAAAGAAAAATTAACAATTAAAAGCATCTGCAATATTTAGCTGCACAAGAGACAGTCTAGACCCAGACGGTTTTGAAATAATAAAAATTATATTTTTTTAAACTGTTAATATCTGAAAATAAAAACAAAAAAATAAGGCATAAGTTATTATTAAAAATTTGGCTTAAAATTCAATGAAAACAGCTATGTGTTTGTAATTTAAAATTTCCCCTATAGCATCTTCAGCTAGCGCTGCGCTTGTGCATAATACCAGGAAGAGGTAAAAATAAATTAAAAGTGGCATTTTCTAAACCTTGTCAAAATTTTCTTTTAAACACTCACTATACTCTAGTTCCATGTGTAAAGACAATTGCCACCCCAGCTGAGACACATCAGTGAAAATGCTGTTTAGTGTTACATTGTTTTAATACGTAAGAAGCAGGGTTCAGGAGTTGCTTTGATTTTTAACACCTTATGGTCTGGAGGTATGTTGGATGCATCTCACAGGAGATGTTTTCTATCTGCCAGACAGGAACTGGGTTAAAAAAATAAGGGTTTAAAAAATAAACGAAAAATCACCATTGAAGCAGCATCAGCAATTGCCACATGACCAACATTCTAGCTGAGGGTGTGGAGCCCAATCGATAGCAAACCATGACAGATGAAAAAATGCCTGCAAATAGCACGGATGGATGGCAATGAAAGATCTCTCTTCATTTGTGTCTTTAGGAGTAAATTATGTCTACTGCCTGTCAAAGAATTACAAATATTGTGGTTTTGCATATCTGTTCACTCGGGATGATGGAATGGGAGAGGACATACCCCAAAGACATATTCATGACAATTATGTTTTGTATGTATGGGTAGCAGAACACCATGTAAATTATCCAAGCAGTTGAGTAGGTTGCAAACTTTGTTCCCTCAGGTAGCATTTGAGTACCAGACAACAGTTAGAGAGGAAGAATTGTGAAATTTCTTACAGAGAGCCACTGTAGCATTTATGGCCAGAGGAAACTGACTAAGTAGCAAGAACACGCAATCTTGTAGTCAATTTCAACATAGAAGCTCAGCTTTTCACCTCAAGACTGTGACAAAGCTTGAAGCTTAGAATTTCCTAGTAAACAGTTTGTACATATGTAATGTTCTTAATTGCATGCTAGGAGGCTGCCACTGGTACAAGTGGGACATTGTCATTTCAACCCCCAGAACAAATCCTTTACATAGAAACAACCCTAGTAGACTGTGCACTGAAAACAGTGTAGGAGTATGTTGTGTAACTGTATGAGAATAATAGGCATATTGCTGATCCTCTAAATCTTTTCAGAGTCTCTTTCTCCTCTCCTCTTGGAGGCCTCATGGACACAATATGTCCATCTTACTAACAGAATTATACAGAACTACCTCCGTGTATTCTCTTTTAAAAAACAAACACGTCATTCTTACCGTAAAAAAATACTTAATAGATATGTTTTGGTAGCAAGCCCTGCTACAAATAAGAAAGAAAAAATCCTACGAGATGGTCAAATCAAACTGCTCATCAGTAAATCAAACCCCTCATGAGTTCTATGTCAAGACAACCAATTTAATCATAAAAAATATATGCAGTAAATACAAGGTACCATAGGAGCAAGGTTAGAGAATAAGAGCTATGTTAGACAGGCAACTTATATTCAACAAGTAAGTAACTGTGACCAAAATATTCCAAGTTCAAACAGAATAAAACTGACATACTGAGACAGCTACTTGGACATTTTCCTCTCAAATCAGGCTTCTGTATATCTGTAGTGAAATGATTTGACATCATACCAAAATAAAGTAATTAGATAAAAGACTAGGCTTAAACATTACCTTTAGCAAAATTCTGATGCCAGAGTTGCCCAACAGACCAAAGGTAAGTTTACTAATTTGCATTACACTTGAACCTCTTTTATCTGGCAACCTTGGGAAATTGGATTTTTCTGCACGATGAGTGTTTGCCATAATGAAAGGCACTGGGGGTGGGGCTGTGGGGTCTGGAAGAGGGAGGGTGCAGGAGCATGTTGGGAATGGCGGGTGGGATTTCAGAGGGATTCTAGACCAGCAATCCACTGCACCACTGTTCCCCAATCCAGGAAGTGACGGGGAGAGGTAGCATGCAGAGTTGATTCCTCGTCTTCTGCCAGGGTCCAAATCACGGAAACGCAAATTACGGACGATCAAGAATACTATTCTCCAAATAAGCAAATCAAGTTCAAGGAAAATGTTGTCTTTAAAATAAAACATCCACTTTTAATAGAATTCCCCCACCCAGCTGCTCAGAATAATCCACTGGTAACATGTAATATGACCCATAGGAGAGGTCTTACACTGTGCTCTGAAGCCCAAACTCTGTCAGACTTTTAAGGGGATCAGATTTCAGAGGACATTTATTGCTAACACTGTCCCACCCACAAGAGGAAAGGAGCGCCTTGTGCCTATGTCTCCTGACGTTATTGAGGGACAACTGGGTTCCAGACCACGTGGAGCTTTACAGAGCTAAACCTGCACTGTGACCTGCACTCAGAAGCAAACAGAGCTGGGGGAAAAAATGGCATATTCTCATTACATCTTACACCAGAAAAGGCAAAGCTACTCCATGCCGCAAAATCTGAGATTTCCAGATTCTTTTCCAGAGTTGCCCACAAAGGGCATGTCTGTAATCCAGCCTCAAGGTTACAATCATATGAATTTATATGGCTTGCCAAACTCTGGTTTCCTAATCCCGAAGGCAGAACATAATCTTCTGACTCAGGAATCAGCACAGCAGGCCTCAAACTAGATAGTAGCTAGTTCTGCCTCGGTGCAGGGGATTGGACTAGACCTACCGAGGTCCTTTCCAGTCCTATATTGCTACAATTCTATGATTCACACTACAATATCTGGTCTTTCAGGAGTAGGGAAGGAGGAAAGAGATAGATAGGAAAGGTAGCAGAATTTGATCCAAAATCTTCCACATTTTTCTATTAATGAAGGATTTTTAATTTCCCACTCCCCACCCTGCTTCACAAAACAGACAGATGGCACCTTCTGACATTACCTGAAGCTGTACCACAGCAAGGCGGTACCCACCAAGCCGAAGAGAAGATGCTTGTGATCACATCAGGCGGAAAGAGAGTAACATTCCTCTGAATCTGTAGCAAGTTTAATACTAACGCAAGAAACACACCAATAAAAAATAGCACGATTCCACGAATCACCAAGTTCATGCCATGACTGGTTACAGATGAAATGTATGGACCACACTTTTTTGGTATAGTTGATGCTGAATTGCTTTCTGCCATGATGTGTTAGGCGAGATCCACCAGTGTGATTGGAGAAGATTCACTTGCAGTCAGTATTTTAATTTAGGACGTATCCCAAATCCTGTGAAAATAACAGACAAGGCTGAAAAAATGCATTTTAAAAGAAAGTGTACGTTAATCTGTAAAAAAATAAATAAATAGTCAAACTTTCTGAATTTGCAGAAAATATAATTTACCTTATGAAAAAGCCAAACTCTGAAGAACTATGGGTAGTAATTCCATGCTTTAATAATAAGAATATAGCAGTAGGAATATATATTATCGACCAGCTGATCAGGACAGTGATAATGACTATGAAATGCTAAGGGAAATTAGAGAGGCTATCCAAAAAATCCCTCAATAACAAAGGGGGATTTCAACTATCCCCATACTGACTGGTACCCGTCACCTCAGGACTAGACAGATACAGAGATAAAATTTCTTGATACCTTAAATGACTGCTTCTTGGAGCAGCTAGTTCGGGAACACACAAGTGGAGAGGCAATTCTTGATTTTGTCCTAACTGGATCATAGGATCTGGTCCAAGAAGTAAATATAATTGAACTGCTTGGAAACAGTGACCATAATGTAATAAAAGTTAACATCCCTATGGTGGGAAAAACACCTCAGAAACCCAACACTGTGGCATTTAATTTCAGAAAGGGGGACTACACAAAAATGAGGTTAGATAAACAGAAATTAAAAGGTACAGTGACAAAGATGAAACCCCTGCAAGCTGCATGGAAACTTTTCAAAGACACCATAATAGAGGCCCAAATTAAATGTATACCCCAAATTAAAAAACACAGTAAGGGAACCAAAAAAGTGCAACTGTGACTTAACCACCTAGTAAAAGAAGCAGTGAGAGATAAAAAGGCATTGTTTAAAAAGTGGAAGTTAAATCCTAATGAGGAAAATAGAAAGGAGCATAAACCCAGTCAAATAAGTGTAAAAATATAATTTAAAAAGCCAAAACAGAGTTTGAAGAACAGCTAGCCAAACACTCAAAAATAGCAAAATGTTATGTAAGTACCTCAAAAGCAGGAAGCCTTTGAGGCCCCTGGATGATTGAGATGCTAAAGGAGCACTCAAAAGACAATATAAAGCCATTGCAGAGAAACTAAATGAATTCTTTGCTTCAGTCTTCATAGCTGAGGATGTTCGGGAGCTTCCCAAACCTGAGCCATTCTTTTCAGGTGACAAATGTGAGGAATTGTCCCAGATTGAGGTGTCACTAGAGGAGGTTTCGCAACAAATTGATAAACTTAACAATAAACAAGTTGCTGGGACCAGATGGCATTCACCCAAAAGTTTTGAAAGAACTCAAACATGAAATTGCAGAACTATTAACTGTGCTTTGTAGCCTATCCTTTAAATCAGCTTCTGTACCTAATAGCTAGAAGGTAGTTAAAGTGATGTCAATATTTAAAAAGGGCTCTAGAGGTGATCCTAACAATTACAGACTGGTAAGTCTAACATCAGTACCAGGCAAATTATTTGAAACTATAGTGAAGAATAAAACTGTCAGACACATAGATGAACATAATCTGTTGGGGAAAAGTCAATATGGTTTCTGTAAAGGGAAAGCATGCCTTATTAATCTGCTAGCATCCTTTAAGGGGGGGTCAAACAAACATGTGAACAAGGGGGATCCAGTGGATATAGTGCACTTAGATTTCCAGAAAGCCTTTGACAAGATCCCTCATCAAAGGGGCTTACATAAAGTAAGCTGTCATGGGATAAGAGGGAAGGTCTTTTCATGGACTGATAACTGGTTAAAAGACAGGAAACAACGAGTAGGAATAAATGATCAGTTTTCAGAATGGAGAGAGGTAACAAGTGGTGTACCCCAAGGATCTGTCCTGGGACCAATACTATTCAATTTATTTATAAATGATCTGGAGAAAGGGGTAAGCAGTGAGGTGGCAAAATTTGCAGATGATACTAAAGTGCTTAAGATAGTTAAGAACAAAGCAGAGTGTGAAGAGCTTCAAAAAGTTCTCACCAAACTAAGTGGGCAACAAAATGGCAAATTAAATTTAATGCTGATAAATGTAAAATAATTCACATTGGAAAAAATAATCCCAACTATACACACAATAGGATGGGGACTAATTTACCTCTAACTACTCAAGAGAGATCTTGGAGTCATTGTGGATAGTTCTCTGAAAACATCTATTCAATGAGCAGCGGCAGTCAAAAAAGCAAACAGAATGTTACGAATCATTTAAAAAGGGACAGACAATAAGACACAGAATATCTTACTGGCATTGGAAAAGGCTCAGAAAAGGGCAACAAAAATGATTAGGGATTTGAAACGGGTCCCATATGAAGACAGATTAAAAAAACTAGGACTTTTCAGTTTAGAAAAAAAGGAGACTAAGGGGGGAGTGAACATGATAGAGGTAGGGATGTTAAATTTCGTTTAATCAACTAGTCACTGGATTTTGCATATTTTCCATCAACTAGTCGATTAGTTGATACGCAGGGGAGCTGCAGTGGGGTTAGCTTTCGACCCCGGGAGCTAACCCCACTGTGTCTCTGCCTTTTAAATGTATTAAGAGCCTACTGGCTCTTAATACATTTAAATGGCTGATGCACAGCAGGGGGACCCTGCATGACCTGGGACAGCTGATTCCATGCTGGGTCCCCGTTCACCCTGTGCACCAGCCTCTTAAATGTATTATGAGCCAGAGGCTGAAGCGCAGCAGGGGGGACCCGGTGCGAGCCAGGCCAGCTGATTCCCGGCTCACGCCAGGTCCCCCCCGCTGCCCACATCAGAGTTATCACAGACTCTATTCATGGAGGTTAGGTAAATCAATGGCTATTAGCCAGGATGGGTAGGAATGGCGTCCCTAGCTTCTGTTTGCCAGTGGTGGAAGAGGATGACAGGAGAGGGATCACATGTTTACCTTTTCTGTTCATTCCCTCTGAGGCATCCGCAATTGGCCACTGTTGGGAAGACAGGATACTGGACTAGATGGACCTTTGGTCTGACTCAGTATGGGCCTTCTTATATCCTTAACTTGCTCTATCTGCAACAGAGCTTTTGCAGGTCTGTCTGCAATAATGCATTAAACAAATAAACATGCTGAAAAAAATAAAGTTATGGCAACAGATTTACATTCTTGGGAAGTGGGGGAGGGGGAAAACAAACACAAGAAAAAGTGGGATGGCATGGGTTAGGGTGATGTGAGACCATATGGAGCAAGAATAGAGTCTGTGATGACTCTCATGTAGAAGACAACAATCAAGTGGTGCCAGGGTGTAGGTGTCTCAAAAGAGAATAAGACATCTAGTTTCAAGGCAGCTGTGGAGTTACTCACTTCTTTGATCTTCTAAAGAAGACAGTAAATAAGTCACAATGTGCAAAAGGAAAATGAAATTTGAGAAAAATTTCGTAGGGTAGAGTCAGCAACCTTTATAATAACTAAGAAGAGAAGTGAATATTTGAAAGCTAGAAGGGCACATAACCACATTACACAGAAATTCTCACGAAGCAACAGAGATGTCATTAAACTTGTAACAGCATGTTATGAAAAATGATTCTCGGCTTCAAAACAAAAAGAGCAAAAAGGGAGAGAAATTCCACCTTCCCATCAGGCTCAGAGGACTGCATACATTCCTAGCTCTGTACAAACTCTAAATATGAATGGCAGAATTCTTTCCCAACCATATTTTAAAAACTTTCAATCAAAACTATTGTTTTACATGGAGTCAGCATCATACTCATGTAGGACATGGACAGCGTAGCCACTTTGGCACTCTAAAGAAAACAAACACTGTTTTTAAATTTGAAACTGCCAACTGGTGGCAGCTTTTGATATCTGGCACATGGCCACACGGAAAAAGAGAGAAGTAAAAGACTCCTTGTTTCCCCATTCCATTCCTTGATCAGTGGACACATAAGATGTGGTCTAATAGTGCACAGTCACAAAGGCAAGGTGGAGGAGCACAATGTCTGGCAGGGCAGAGAAGAAATTTTGGAGGAACTACAAGCAGCAGAGATATGAAATCTGAGGCTATCTATATTAATACAGGTCAAGCCACAACAAACAATTCCAGAAAGAATCTAATGCACACCATGCTGTTGTATACACTACAGCTACACAGAAATCCATACGTTTTGAGAGGGTTACCAGAGAGCCCATATAAAAAAGTATTGCCCTATCCATATAGTAGTACTACCTTGTGGATTTCTTGTGAGGATCAATTTACTCATGTGGACATTCAGAACTTATGGCTATGCTCATGAGTAATTAAGTGAGTAGGCCCAGGTTGTGAGCTTGCAATGCTACCATTAGTGTGGATACAGAGGGTCTATTTTTCTGTCCTCCTGCCTCTTGCATAGACATTTATGCCAGTGATAAAATTACAGCCCTACCAGAGCTGATTCAGCTCTGGTATGAAGATACAGATGATAAATCTCCATTATATCTGTAGTTATCTAGAATGGAGCAGCAATATGATTTAAAATGGCTCAAAGCTTAAATGACTGAGAGACTTCCTTTAAAAATATGAATGTGGCAGTTTCTCTCTGCTGCCACTGCAGTGTCGTGTCACTCTTGCCCCTAAAGAGGAGGAAAGAGGAGAGGAGAGCAAGGTTAATGAGCACACAAAATAAGAGACAGCGAAAGCAGCAGGTATCAGAGGGGTAGCCGTGTTAGTCTGAATCTGCATCTGACATGCATCTGACGAAGTGGGTCTTTGCCCACGAAAGCTTATGCTCCTACACTTCAGTTAGTCTATAAGGTGCCACAGGACTCCTCGTCGTGAAAGCAGCAGGTAAGCTGTATCAGATCTGATGAGGGAGATAAGCCATGGACTTCATCACAACCACAGAAATGGCAAATCAGAATATGTCATGGCTTAAATAAGCAAAATAAAAAGCATGATATTGAAGATGAGTGTGTGTCTGTGAGGAGGGGTGGGAGGGACAGCGTGAGCCACTACGTGGATAAGCCACAGGACATCTGGCTTCAACTCTTGGCTCTGCCATTAGCAGGTGAGGTGATTTTGGGCAAGTCATTTCATCTCCCTGAACCTTGATTTCCTTTTCTGTAAAATAGGGCTAGCTAATGATACTGATCTCTTTTGGAAAGTGTTTTGAGACAAAGACTGCACAAAAAATGTTTGGTATTAGTATGATTAGAGAAAACATACTGGCAGTGGTATGGTTGGAGCTTCATGATGCTAATGTACACAATACTAAAAGAATTCAGCAGACAATGATTTATGAAACAATTGGCAATATTTATCAAGCAATCACTGGCCTTGCCCATGCTAGTAAATTACTTGTTTTACAGCAACAGTGGAGTTGCAGTGGTACAAACTCTGCTGTGGACAAAGATTTGTACCACAGAGTCACCTTGACCACTCAGAATAAGGAATGGAATTCACTAGCACAGGGGCACCCATGCAGGGTATGAAGATGTTTATAGCAACCAGTGCTTTGTTTTCAATTAGTGACATGGTGTGTCAGTTAAGAGTACCACAGTGGACTCCTGGGTTCTACTCCTGGCTCTGCCATTGATTTGCTGAGAGATTTTAAGGGTAATCAACATACCTCTGCTCCTCAGTTTTCCCACCTACAAATAAGGGACAGCTAACCAATATGTATAAAACACAGAGATCCTCCTGTAGACAATGCTGCTTTTGTAATATATTATTAATGTGCCACGGGTACTAATAGTGAAGATTACAATTTCTGAGGAAAGTTGCAGCCAACTCCTTAATGCGGGAAGCATGTGTGCATATATACATACACATTAATTAAAATCAGTTGTATTTTATCCCTTACTTCCCTCCCTGCATGACCAATGCCATCACAATTTACAATTTGACCGTACACTGCTGTGCCGTCATCTCTTGAAAATGTATTCAAAGATGGAACAACACAGGAGAGCTACAGAGCTGGTAGCTCTTCGCATGACTGATTCAGCTCCAATTTATCCTTTCCGTGGGACACCGCTTCAACCCAAACTTTTCAGTGAGGGCAGGCTGTGCCACATGACGGCTTTAGGATTCATACTCAATAATCATCATCTGCGATTTTTTTCCTGTCACTGCAACATCTCTAATAGGAAAAGCACCCTGCAACTGCTCCAAAGTTTACTACCTTAACCACCACAGATTTCACTGTCCTGCCCTTACTGGCCTGGCAAGTCTAAGTTGTTTGGAAGGCGACTCTGTGAATCATTATGGATTAATTTGAAAGCTCTCTTTTTTGTAAGTCACTCATGTTCAGTACAGGCAACAGCCTGCTAACATGGCTCTGGCACACATTCAGAGATAAGGGAGCAGCTAGATGCTGAGGTATAAGCGTGGGAAGTATGGGTGCGGGGGATGTTGCAGCACCCAGCTTCCCCATGCCTGGGGGCTGGCTCCACTGTCTGCTCCTCCAGCTCTAGGTCCTGGCCTCCAGGACATATCACCATACTCACGTGCTTTGCTGGCCCTCTGGGATCCTGCTGCCATGGGCTCCGCAAGCCCCCAGGGTCCCACCAGCCCCCGCAAGCCCAGGGTCCCGCAGTCAGCCCAGGGTTCTGCAGCTGCCCTCAGCTGTGGCCCCAGCCTGGGGCAGTGAGGTTGCCAGCTCTCCAGAACAGAACGGACCAGATGCCATTTGCAGCAATGCAGTCCAGTCTCTCCACTCCAGGAGAGTTGGCAACTCCATCTCAACAGGTCTAAAAGGCGGAAGGGAGAGGGCAGCTCAGCACCCCCACCCCGAAAGTAGCTGTGTGCCACTGTGCCAAGGTGAATTCAGGCCTTCACGAGCCTGCCAAACATCTGCTCCCAGTGGTGGCTTTTCCCAGAGAGACGCCTGCTGCCCGAGGACCACCCAACTCATTGCACGTTTGCCACCCGTCCGCTCTCCAGGCCGCAAGGCTGGAGCTCGGAGCAGTCTGAAGCGGGGCATCAGGAAGCCGCTTTCTGCCCTCGGACAGAATTCCT